ACTACAAAAAATGACAGAAAAACAGCCATACCTTGTTTTATTAAATATGAAATAACAACATCAATCTTTACTTTTCTGGAAAGAATAATAAAGTTAAATCAGACCAGTAAGTTGTTACCAATCTAGGGTCTATTATTACCTGATACATTTTATTTTAACTGTTAACTGCTGATAAAAACAATCTTTTAACCCTTTAAGATATTTCAGATTGTGAGCAATTACAGAGTGATATCTGTGGAGTGTTCATTATTGGTGCAAAAATTGGAAAATAAAATTGAAAGTAAAAAGCCCTCCATATTAATTTCATCAAGAAGAAAATTGAAAAAAAAGATAAATATTGTTGGTTAACATTTCTACGGGCTTTTTACCTATAAGTATGATAAAGCCTGTGACATTAACCCTTTTATTCTTAATGTATCTTAGCCAGCTTATGGGTCATTGAGTTGACAAATTGGCGAAAATATAAAAAAAAAAAATGCTACAAAAATAATATAATTTTTAATTACTAAAGTTTGACCTCTGATAAAACCGGAGGTTAACACTGTACCAAAAGCAAGAAGATTTTTCAAGGCGTCCATTTTAAAATTACATCAGATTATAGCTGTCCACCTGGACCCTCCCTTTCAATCCTGTTTAGCACTTAGAATTCAGAGCTATGAGTATATCATATTTTTTTAATCCTTACCCATCTTCCTCTTTGCTATAATTGCTGTCTGTCGTCTGTGTTGGGTTTATCATTATAATTTTTCTGTTTATTTTTGTTTCAAATAGCAGTAGCCAACCATGAGAGAGTAAAAGGTTTAGAAGAGGACAACACCAGTACAAGGGATCAGATGTAGATAACCAGGACATGGGTGCTGGGGAAACCATTGTGCTATCCTCAAGATGAGCAAGGTGGTGGAACAGGCGACCTCTAGAGTGACCCTCACCAGGCTAGATAATGAAGTCACCCCTGTTGAGGTGTTTAATTGTCCTGATGTTCAACCCCGCCCTTCGACAACCGCAAATCGTGTTCTATATCGGTTTCACACTAGGGAGCTCCATACGGCTAGTTAGTTGAACGATCTCGGGATGAACGTTTCTAATGCAGTGAAACATAATATCCATACTAAAATTATGGATATAAATATTCGGACAGATGTTTCAACTATCTACATATTTATTGAAATTATTTGGTATTTAATTGACCAGGTGTTGTGGCTTCTGTCTGTACATGCATGGCGTTAATGCATCAGGTACAGCTTTAACCTCCAACGTTGGTACCAGATCAGCTAGTAGCATACACAACACATTTTACAATGGAACTCGTTCCAGACCTTTATGTTTTTATTAATAATTCGTAATGGCAACCATAAAAATGATAAATTGTAACCAAAATGCCCCCCATTATAATATGTTATAAACTCTGCTTTTAGGTAAGGAGCTGCAAACACTCTTCTAGAAAAGAAAATTTCAAGGCGGGGGAAATGTCAGATTTACTGAAACTAGGTTAAACTCCAATTATCAATGTAGTTCCCAAAAATCTTTACCAGTGCCTTTCTGATAGATCATCGATTGATGAGTAAGTTTCAGGGTTTCGGTCAGGTTTTCTGTTGTCCTACCAAGGCCTTCTTTGCGCATAGTGTATGTAGAATAGGTTGTTTCGTGCGCTTTACAAATGTGTTATTCTTAGTAAATATGGCGATTATAAGTATACGTCGAAATAATTCAATATATTTTATTAAGAGTGGCCTATTTTCAAAGAGCAGATATGGTAAGCTCTAAATAAACACTTTTGATAGCTGTTTATTTATATGGTTTTCCGAAACTAAAAATATTTCATATCGCGTGATCAAGGGGGTGGGGGTGGGGTGGGGTGGGGATTTCGTTCACTTTACAATTGTGCTATTCTTAGTATATATGGCGATTATAAGTAAACGTCGAATTAATTCAATATATTTTATTAAATGTAAATTTCTCAATAGCCAGTAATGCTGATAACAATTTTACCGAACAAACACGGGAGAGCTATAGAATATTTTATCCTTTAGATTTTTACATAGTTGCAAATGATGCTTTAACTCTTATTCAATACAGCTATCACTTTGTGATGTCTTAATGAGACATCAAATAAGCATTACGACGAAATGCTTATCGAATAGGAATATTTAGCTTATTATTTAATGTTTTTACCAAATACTTTGTTTTACTTGAGGTAGGGACTGATCTGACATTAACATAAGGTGTACAGTCCGAGTAAGGGCATGTTTCACACCGCTTGCAATTATTACATTAAGATCTACACTTCTATTTGAGTTATCTACAGCGAGTAAGAAGTTATGGGCCAAGACGGACGATAGAGAAGCTGGTGACAATAGAATATGTCTGAATTTGGTTTTAAGCGCAGTGCAAGATTAATTATGTAAACATATTGGCTAGCCTTGGATTTAGAAAATTCCAAACGTAATTTATTTCATTTTGTCTTAGGTAGATGGTCATACAATAATTGCCTTGCCTTATTCCTACACATGTTTCTTTTTTCATCCATATAATTATATAGCAACATAAACAGACAACAAATAATGAAAGAACAAAAAAAACATACCTCTATTCTTTTAAGGTTTGTTACTCCACCATGGTATCCACCAAATTCTGCTTTCATCATGTCCATCTATCAAATATGAAATAACAACATCAATCTTTACTTTTCTGGAAAGAATAATAAAGTTAAATCAGACCAGTTAGCTGGTACAATCTAGGGTCTATTATAACTTGATATTTTTAAGTACTAAAGTTTGATCTCTGATAAAACCGGAGGTTAACACTGTACCAAAATCTTTGGATTTAAGAAAACCACGAAATATAATCCCAACGAAATGTTAAGCACACAAAATTTAAACTAAACGAAAATATGAAATAAACTATTACTTTAATTACAAAACGTGCTGTATTTACATTTAGACACAAGTCATGATAAACGGTGTAATTATCGTCACACACACAAGCGTTATATTTGTAACACAGTTACATTGCTCTTTGTATGTAAGCTATAGAGCATGACGGATTTGACGGACTTGACCGATACCCATCGAGTGAGATTATCTCGCCCAGTCTTACCTGTACCTCGCAAGCTGTATAGAAAAACAAACAAAAAACAAACTAAATATTCCCCTTTTAAAAATAATCAAATATTCTATTCAACGAAAAGGGGGAATAATGTAAATAAAGCAGTCGTCGTCAGTTGTTTACGACAATAACGTTAACTTTGGATCGATTTCCGGCACCATGCCCCAATTTTAAACTTTTTTCAACGGAGACACGGGGAAATAAACTTCTATTGCAATCGACAAACTATTGCTTAAATGATTTAAACACAAGTGTTCCTTCTTGAGTAATGTTTACATTAAAATCGGCATGATTTTCTCACACGATGTGTTAAGGTTACCGTGAATATTTATTATATGAATGCTCGTTTTCTTATCAGAATTTGTGTTATAAAATGTCAGTAGCCCTAATTATTTCCATTGTATATAACTATTAACTACCACACATATGTTTGTTTAGACTAAATTATATGACCATCGAGCGATGGTGGATCTATTGTTTTCCCCTGACTGGGGTGAAATGAGGTGTGAAAATTTCACCTGGAGTTGACAAGTAATCACCTCGGGCGATGTCTCAAAACAAAAACAACGAAATTTAACCCCAACGAAAATTTATGCTTTTCAGTATTCATATTCTAGTAGCAATTATTTTATTGGGTGTTTTATTAAACAATTTCAATGCCCCAGAAGGTTTTTAAGGCGTACGTTAAAAACGCTGTTATTTATTATATTCGTTTATTTGTACGAACTTGCGTACACTTACTCTAGTATTAATATTTATTTTGATTAGGTTTTTGTTGCAAAGTAGTATTGATCGGATCATTGAGATAGTTAAAGGGTTTTGACATAAAGATTTGACGGGTAAAACGGATAGTAAGTCGACTTTCCGTCTGTTAGACGATTATACATTGACTTGTTGGGTTTTATATTTACGAACCTTGTTTATGTGGCCAAAGCTACCAATATGTTGTACCATTTCATGTGCCCTATTTTACACAAAAAAGCACTGCATTGGAACGGATTGTTCGTGACATGTTATCTTGACCCTTACCTGGATGACTCTCAGTTTCCTCCTCTATATATTCTATTTCCTAGTTTGCTCCTCTATATAGAAGATGGAGAGGATATTCTGTTCCCAAGTTTCTTATCCTATCAGGAGGAGAGGGATATCCTTATTCCTAGTTTCCTCCTCTATATAAAAGAGGTGGATATCCTGTTTACCAGTTTCCTCCCCTATAAAGAGAAGGGGGATACCCTATTCCATAGTTTCCTCCTTTATATAAATGCGGGGTAGGGTATCCTGTTCCCACAGTTTCTTCTATATAACGGTGGGGGTGGGGGGATATCCTTTTTTCCTAGGTTCCTCATCTAAATAGAGGAGAGGAGGCTATCCTGTACCATAGTTTCCTCCTCTATATCAAAGAGGGGAGGGGGAGGATATCCTGTTTCCAAGTTTCCTCCTCTTTACAAATGAGTGGGGGATGATATCATGGTTCACTGTTTGCACCTCTTTATATCGAGGAGGGGGATATCATAGTCCCCAGTCCTCCTTTATAGGGGATAACATCCTGTTCCCTAGTTTCCTCCTCTATATAAAGGAGGGGGATATCCTGTTTCCCAGTTTCCTACTCTTTTTATAGGAGTGGAGAGCATATCCTGTTCTCCAGTTTCCTTCTCTATAAAGAGAAGAAAACAGGAGAAGTTTCCGAAGTTTCCTTCTTTATATATATTAGAGGGGTAGTATATAACCTTGTTTCCTCCTTTATATTGAGGAGGGGGGGGGGAGGGGGGCTATCCTGTTCCCACGTTTCCTCTTCCATATATGAGCTTCCCGATAAAAAAACGGATAGAACATAATATTGTCTTTCCAAATTAAAAGTAACAAAGAAAATATTCAAAATTACGGAAGGCGTTCACAGAATATATCGTAATAGATTCCCCATTGACAACAGCAAGTCAAAATCAAGAAAAAAATAAAATAAAAAAATGGTGACCTTCGACCAAACAGAGAGAGTTTTAAGATTCCTTTTTTCTCTAATAACACGACAAAACGTTAGCCTAGTTCAATATTTACATTCTATATTTTGCATGAAAATTATATATAAATAGTTTTTGAGTTTTGGTTGATTCAGATTTTTAACGATGTGGCGACATGGTGGTCATATTGGCCTTTGACTTAGTTGAAAATGTGTCAATTACGTCTTCTGTCCAATTCATATACCATGTCAAAAAAGCTTTGACATACATTTTGCCGTTTAGAAGACATTTTTAGGACAAATTTCTGCGAAAGTATTTAATCATAAAGCATATTTTCACAGTAAAACAATGAGGCTTTTAGGAATTTCCTACACCTGGAGAAAAATCGACATTTTCTGACGTCTGTACATTAAATCTCGTGCCGCGGCCATTTCATTCTTAAACAATTGATCTGGTTATTCTGTTTATTTCCGCATCATTCCAAACGCTCACAATACCTGTGGTGATTACGGGCTGCGTTCCGTTACCATATTTCTAACAGTTATAACACCTGTTGAAGTTGGATTATATTTTCATTATGAAATAAGGACAAAGTTAATGGTCTACACTGTCTACAGTATTGACAAAGAGTTTCAAGACTTGCTTTATCATTAGCAGGTCTGCTATGTTTCTTCTTCTGACAATTGAATTGCATGATAGTTCGGTACATGTACACTACAACAAACAAACAAGTTGAATAAATCCCATAAAACCCCCATCTAAAACAATGAGATAATATCAACTTTACTTTATCGGAAAAATGCTGGGGAAATGGAAATTCCAAATTGTACAAACAGAGTGGCTGTAGGATAAGGCCAAAATAGTTATTTGGCAATACTACTGAAAGCATGTTCTTCCCTGAAACTAAGAGATGGGTAACTGTTGGGAGACATTCTCCTGTTATCGGGATTCAAATAGCGGAGCGGACCTTCCAGGAGGCAGGGCACAGAGGCAAACTTAAGCAAACCCTTCATTGGAATATAAACATGGATATCTACCATATATGGTTGAAAACACCCAGATGGTGGATTTTCAAAATGGAACAGATGATGATGCTACATTAATGTAACAACCAACGTTTCTGAGATCTAGTCAAAATGAATATATGTATTGTAATACCTGTAAATGAGCGAGATCGGGTTATCTCATTGGAGGGCTCATATAGTGTAACATAATCCAAATCTACAGAATTTCAGCCCGAGACTGCGATAATTCAATCTCGTTCAGTTTCAATTATTTTTTCTCGCATCTTTTAGCTGGACAAAAATACTCAAATTTGCTATTCTAGTCTACAAGTATCCCATCAAGGGCCTCAAATAAATATGGCCTTTTCACTACGTTTAAATACCTCCGCGTGAACAATGAAGTCTGTCTTTAGGGGAAAAAAACATATTTCACAGTGCATCAGAACATCAAAACAGAATTTAACAAAAGAGCGTAGAGAACATGACACGCCATTCCCCAACTTTGTTTTAAAGAGCACATTTATTTATTTGTTTTTGTGAATAGTCAATTTGCAAACTACTCACAAACCCAGTAACTGTTGGAGTTTTATAAGTTTGCATTGGAGATGCATGTACTAAAGATAATAATGTACCTCGCCCCATTTCCGAGGAAGAATCTGAAAGTAACTGTAGACTAGCTCTTGGATTAATGAAAGCATAATTCTATCGTACCTTCAAGATGTTAAGTTCATATTCATACCAAGTACTATTTGAATCAACTGAATATTCTTATAACAAACCTCTGCACAAACCTTCACAGAGTATAGACCTTAATCTTCAGACGCAAGAAGTTGACGAGAACTATATATACTTTAGTACCTCTGACGGCGTTATCTATAAAATTTGCATGTAAATAGAAGGACTGACATACAAGCTACATTCAGCACAGTTCCTAATAACTGCATTGTACAGAGGGGATGGCGCTGTTATAAAATCTAAAAAAAAAGTGCTATAAAAATTGCATTTCACTTTAAACAAATGCATTAAAAAACAAATATACGTTTAGATTTAAAATTTGTCCTTCAGACGAATTTTTTGAATGGAATATAAAAAAAATATCTTCGGTAATATGTTGAATTAATTTTGTAATAGCAAAATTTTAGTTGAAAAATGTTTTAAGGGAATTTGTTGTGAATGTTTAATAATCTTTCCCGTAAAGGTTTTATGTAAAACATTTACAAATGATTAGTTTTACCGCATTGCAAGTCAATTCAGACAGCTTTGTGGTCACAATAGTATACTACCAAGGTTCCCAAACAGTAGGTATTGAATTTACATGTAGCAAGGTTTTATTGCATTCACATCTATTATCACGATATCATGACACGTTAATTGGTTAATAGTTACTGAAGATATTGAGCGGACACAAGAGTTGAAAGGCGTACGGAAGGACGAGCGGACGGATTATATACCATAATATGACCCTCCGAGACGAGCTTATACAACATGCACCAGTGTATCACTTACATTAGCGCGCGGATGAATATTACGTTGTACGAAAAATTAGCAAATCTACAATGGTACCAGACGGATCGGACGAGAAAGAACAGGAGATCCAAGAGGGATCTTGGCGCCCACGGTACCATCGCCATTAGTTCTGTGTCAGTTTGATCTGTTCTCTTCTTTTGTCTTATGTTTTTGATCAGTTTGCCCGTTCATCGTCTTAGGCAGTCTTTTGATCAACCACCAAAGTAAACATGGACAACTAAGGACTAAGGGAAATCTACATATCAAATTTGAGAAAGACTTCTCCAGCATATTCTTACAAATAGCTATAACACACATAAACTGCAACAAGAGTTCCGCCTGTTCGTATCGCGGTTTTCATATCAGTCCAAAATCTGATATGCATAACTAATACCAAGAGGAGCTCTTATGTGAAATTCGAGGAAGACCCCTAGACCCCTTCAATACTTTTTAGCAACATTGAAAATAACCATCTTCCTGCCATCTTGATTTTTCAGTCATCCCGAAAATTCGAAATTCTGAACAGAAATTTGAGGGGTCTTTCTCAAATTTCATATGAAGGTTCCCCATGTGAAATTTGAGAAAGACCCATCCAGTATCTTCTGAAAATAGCACTAACAAATTAAAAAACTTTCAAATTGAAGATGGCTGCTTGTCAGGCAGCTTTGTGTTTCCCTTCAGTCCTAAAATTCTATATTCGTAACTTAGGAAACGTTCATGTCAAATTTGAGAAAGATCCCTGCAGTAATTTCTGGGAAAAAGGCGCTAAAAACATGAACTCTCAAATTCAGGATGGCTGGTTGTCGGTCATCTAGGTTAAGTTACCAGTCCCAAAAAGCGATATGCATAGCAAGAAACAAAAGGGAAATCTTCATGTGAAATTTAAGAAAAATCCCTTCAGTAATTTTGGCCATTTGGGTTAGTGATCAATCCCCCAAAACGATATACATAACAAGGGACCATCGGAAACCTTCACGTAAAATTGATGAAAGATCCCCCAATTACTTCCTGAGAAACAGCGCTAACAATCCTGAACACTCAAATTAAAGATGATTGGCTGTCCGCCAGCTTTGTTTTGTAATCAGTCAAAACAATACGCATAACAGGAAACCAAAGGAAACCTTCATGTGAAATTTGAAGTCTCAAATTCAAGATGGCTGGCTCTCGATTATTTTGGTTTAGTTATCAGTGCCAAAAAACGATATGCATAACTAGGGACCAAGGGGATCCTCATTTGAAACTTGAAAAACAAATAATCAAATTAAAAAAGTCGAAGGTGGGCTAAAACTCTAGCCACTGGGTATCACGATGGATATTTCAGTCTGAGGTAATCGAACAGTTATTATTATTGCTTTTAGGATCTGTGTCCGCTTGTTCTGTTTTGGTTTTTGTATACACGGTACTATTGCTTCACACACATGACGATATATATAACAAAAAGTAAGGATAGAAGATCACACACGTGATACATATATAAAAAGTAGGACAGAAGATGTACTACGAGAACAAATACAAAAAAATAAAATAAAATAAAAAAATGTACTAAAAGACTGATCCCCTCCCTCAGAGATGATCGGCTTGGTTTTCATCATGACAATGTCATAATAACAATACATCAATTGTAATAGAAATAAGCATATCCCAACAATTGTTTGCAATGAGTGGAATGGATGTTCATTTGTTTGATGTGAACCAAAAGAAGAAAAAAATCTGAAGAAAGTTTATCAGCACTTCATTCAATCGTATTATTATAACGGCACATTATAATGTGACAACTCACATTACGAACGTACATTACGAACGTTGATGTGAAATATGAACCAAATGCATAACATCACTAAAGCCAATTGTATCTTTGTGTTAGGCATTCTTCTTCATTTCAATGATAGAATAATAAGACACTTACAGGTGAAGTAGGTTCCATTGTCATGCTTTTCAAGTACTCAGGTTTTCTTAAATCTTCCGAAATACACCTTGATGTAGGCACTGAAAACACAAAGTAATAAATCAGTCTCTGTATGTTAGGTGGAAAAAAACATACTATGAAACACACCGGAAAAAACAAGACTTGGTATTAGAAAAATATTATTCTGTTTTTGTATGGGCGTGAGGGAAAAAGCACTTGTATTGTCCCCCGAGGCATTAACTATTGTAATAGAGGGACAATAAAAGTGCTCTTTCCCGAAATACCCATAAAATAACTGTTTTATAATACCAACAACCAACAACAACATTATCCCGACAGGTTGTTTTGCAAACGATGAACGTCTGCTTCGTCGGGGTCTCGGAAACGCTTACGGACTTTATCGTATTGTATACGATGGAAGTAGAGATGTTCCGAAGGAACATGACAAACGCTATGTCCAATCAGAATGAACGACGCCAACAATTTCGCGAACATTTAAATGCAGGTTAAATAGCTCATTCAAGGTAAATAGCTCTAATGACTATTTATCTGGTGAATAGTTTCTTGAAAGAGGTTATTTTGAATAGCATTTATATTTTTACCTTTAAAAAGTGTAAAAAAAGAGAGAGCTATAATTAATAGTTTTATTGTTTAGATGAGCCAATTTTTTTTTGTCACGAGGCAACATATATTACTGTTAGAGCAGATACTTTTTATTTATTGATCAATTGTTCTATCTACTTACTATTATATATATCTAATATATACATTTGATTGGTGGGATGGGCTTGGAGGAGAAGATTTCTTTCCGAAGTTTTAAGTTTGACGAATTTAAGTAGCATTTCACGACACTAAAGTTCATGATAAAAATGTATCCAAATACAGGTGGATAGCTACATGGTCTCTGTCATAAAAATGTAATTTAGATGCCCAGGGAACCGAACTTCGAATCAGAAGCTCATTGCGTCTTTTATTAATTTCTCAGATATGGCTCAATTAATACTTCCTCGTGAAACTTTATTGAAGTATGGCAATTCTTTGTATAAACTAATTATAAGGAAGTTGATTGCTTTCTAATGTTGGCGATTACCGCGACTCACATTTCAGCTATAGGACCTTGGATAGAAGTGATACTATGTTTTTTATTTTTTTTTGGGAAATGGGTTATGAGGGTAGTGTGTAATAAGGGGGTGTTTATTTCAACATGGACGATTCATAGGTTAACTATTACACCGTTGATGGTGTTCTGCGCACAATGCGATGATTTAAGAGCAATAGACCAGTGTGGATATCTGAAGGCCGAACAGAAGGACTGAATAAGGCCAATGGAGACAATAAAAACTATTTAAACCTAAACCGTATAAGTTTCTCTAACTTCCTTTACCAGATGTAACTATTTTAATACGATTAGTGGATAAGGTATTTAAGTTCACCATGATAAAAAGAAATATTTCAGTTTGTTACTATTCAGAGAATAAACAACAGAAAACCGATACAGACCCTCATGATATACGTGAGTAAGATGTTATCGGACTCACTTAAATGTGAAAGCCATTTGACGGGGATTCTATATAGCACACAAACAACCCGGCTGGCTTTCCACGTTTGAAAGGACTGTAATTAAATACACGAAACGAATGCCCTTGACATGTCGGAGTTATTGTAAGATGTTTCCACGAAGCAAGTTTCGTATCCGGAACAGGGTTGTGTGTCAACATGGTCGATAATGAATAAGACTAATTGTTTAAAGCTCAACCGTCAAAAAGTCTTAGCTTATAACATAGATTTTAGAGCAGTTACATTGCTTTTACATTACATTAATTAATTTTTCTATCTTCCTATTTTATATATGTATATATGATACACTGTTGAGAGCCACAGTATGCATATTACTTACTCTAATATTATTCAAGCTGTTGCGACACGATGCACATGGTTGTGTTGTTAACTTAGCGAATTAAAGCTCAATCAATTTTGCAGCATAACCTGTACGTTATGACGTAAAAGGTGATCCTATTAAGACACCAATTTAATCAATTATAACATATGAATGAAACTATGGCTATCGGGATGGATAGATGAACTGTTCGACGGATGGATGGAAGCGGTTTTCATAATTTCAAAAATAATCGAATTTTCGTTTGTTATGGGCGAGTATAAATGCAAAGTGGCTCACCTACGGGTGGCCGTTGAATTTATTATTGATCGTCCATATTACTTAATAATATTTTTTGATGAAATTGCGGCCCATAAAACCGCCAATGCAAATGAATCAAAATACCTGTTCTACTGTATAATCTAATGTATAAGTTATTTTAGATATACATGTACATATTTAATAATGTAGTAACAGTTCAAATATACCAATTATTACAATGAAATGCATTAAATAAAACTGAATAAACAACATTAATTGAAAGGAAGGCGTCAGAGGGGTGGTGGAGGGTGCGTTTTTGTCAATATTTACAAAAATCAGTCTGTGCACTGTTGCTGATCCCTGACGAAGGTGAAGTTCAAGTGCGCTCCACTCAACCGTGACCACTAAGTTGACCAATCAGCGTTGACTGTTCACGTGATGTACGCGTGGTCAATATGTGTCTGGCGTAAGTGGAGCCGCTTGTGTAACCGAGGATAAATTTAATTAGAAATTCAAATAAAAATAAGTCTTATAAGTAAGACTTTGCATTTTTCTTCCTCATTTCCTCCTTCTTCTGACGACTCACTTAGGGTCAACATATACTAAATAACTACAAACATCAAATATGGCATATGTTATAATTGCCTCCTGCTGTTTCCTCCGTTCATCAAAATCTATAAATATATAACTCCAAACAACGAAATGCCGTAAATGGCTCACCTACGGATGGCCGTTGAATTTATAATTGATCGTCCATATTACTTAATAATATTTTTTGATGAAATTGCGGCCCATAAAACCGCCACAAATCTACGATGAGAAAATTATATTTTAAAACGTTATTTTTCCATCGGAGATGCCGCTGGGCCTCTTGTTAACAAATTTGATTTTTGTTAAACACTGCTCTGCTTTATACAAATGAGGACTTGACTCCAGAATGTGATGACTTATTTACATATGCTGATAGTCTTAGATAAAAAAAAATTACATACATAATCATAGATTATACCGGAATTTTCAAATAGTAAATGTCAACACTACTTACAGTTAGCGTCCGTTTCGTCCATGTCGTTTGAAGCTGTTAAGTGATAATTCCGACAGTCGTCTGAAATGACCTCACGGTAGTTAACGACAAACTCACATGCGAAAGAACAGACCCTTTTATAGCATGGAGTTGTCACATGACAGCAATTGGTCGAGGATTTTATACAGCACATGCGCAACCCCGCTTGCTGCCCACGTTTACTTCATATGTGGAAAATCCCAAGAAGAAAGGACTGTTCACGGAATTCACGGAACGACTGCCCTTGACATGTCCGAGCTATTTTAAGATGATTTTACAAAGCACATTGTGTACCCGGAACACAGTTTTGGGACAACATGATCGCTAATGAATAAGACATTTTTTAAGCTCAACCATCAAAAAGTCCTATCTTATAACATAGATTCAAGAGCAGTTACATTTTATTTATTAATCTGTGTTTCTTTCTATTTACTATTAATCATATGTTTATAATATAAATCTGGTTGGGTGGGGAAGGGGGGTGGGGGTGGGTTCGTGGAGGAGAAGATCTGTTTGTGCAGAATGAAGTTTGTTGGATGTATTTCAGTAATATATGGATATTACAGCTTTCCAAGACACCTAAAATTCCAGTTAATATATATCTATCGGTGAATAGCATAGTATACTGTGGTTTCAATGTTAGGAAATAACAGGTTTATTGTAACATATTGATTTAATTGTGGTATCACGTACTGATTATGAAAAGTAAATATTCAGTCTACTCTTTTTATAACGCTGTGCTAGATATCGTATTGATGCCGAAAACCATAGTTCATTTTACATGTGCCTGTATTATGATAAACATTGAAAACAATAACAATCAGTAGCAGTTTGTTAAAATGTATAACCTACGTGGATTTTCTTATAAAAGAAACGACTTGTGCTACAAAGACTGCATTCTTACTCTATTGAATAAAATAAAGGTTTATCGTTCACACTCCTTCGTCTAATATAAATCTTTTTCAATGCAAATCTTAACGATTTGCCTCAAAAACCTTGTCTCACAAACTATCTACGGTTTTTCCATGACAAACCGACCCAGCTATGTGTACACTATTAATAGCCAAGCATTGGTTGATATCATCGCTATAAATAGTATCAAAACTTCCTGTTTCTGAATTAGACTGTTTTTTGGTGTTTGTATACACTAACGTAAGTGTAAAATGGATTTTTTTTGTGATATTTAATTTAAACAGGTGTAGGAGTGTTTTGCAGTCTGCTCTTCAATAAGAAACTCCTATGAAATATGTCATACTTTCAACCACACATTGATTAATACACCAATGGCTGTTTAGCGGGAGAGTTAGGAGTTCATATCAATTAACAAAAGAGTGATACATTGATTTATTTGTATTGCGAATGTTTTACCTCCTACAAGGAATCTAACGGTTGGGTTTAATACTTTTATAACAATGTTAAAAACACCATGACCGTTCGCCATCACAGACAAATCTGAGGTTCCCTTAGCATTAAATGCATTGTTTGATTATATTGCGAAGTAACATATTTTGTTTCTATATATTCAGACATTAAGTGTTGATGCCGTGTATCAATGTATAATGTGACGCACTGTTTACAATATGTATTTATTACATATACTTATCTATTTGTTCAGTGTACAGAACGTGCGTGTAACGGTTCGATAACTCGAATTGATATTGGAGAGAATGATACCTGTAAAATAGCACATACATGTATATGATTGATAATGATAAAACAATGCACAAAAAGAATCACTTGGAAATGATTATAATGAGTATATTAAATATGTGGGAGTGCTTGTAGAACAAACACGTTGTGTTACATTAACTGTAGCATTAGTCGAATGGCTTTAATTGTACAACACTTTAATAATATCTTTTGTCAACAGTTCGAAAAAAATCCTTCTTAACTTACCCAATGCTCTATAGTTGAGAATCGCTGACGCCTTCATCGTGGAAAAATAAAAATTGATAGTGTTTTGACTTTGATTTATGCATAGCCAGTCTCCTGTTAAATGTTTCCTCGCTATGAATGCCAATGCAAATAAGAATTACTTCGGTTGTCAAAAAACAACCGTTCTTCTCGATATCTATGCCTGCCTTTCCAAACAAGAAGAATACGTTTTATAGCGACAATGGGTTGGTGTCTACTCTTCGATAAGAAACCCCAGTGAGAAGTTTTCCATACTTTTAACAAACATCCATGTTTATTAATTAATATCGATGCTTGAATCTAATTGTGTACTAATTTGTAAACATGTATTAAATAATTGCAGCTGCTATCCAGATTGTCCAAATTTGTTAAATTTGTCTATGGATAATATCATGGCAAGCGTTAAAAACGAAATGTATCACTACAATTACATTATTCATTGGTTGAATACGAAAAAGATAATGACAACAAGAGGAAAAACAGATGAGTAGGGTTCTACAGTTGACCGGGGATCTTATACTATCTTATACTATGAGGACCAGGGTTTGAATTCTAGTATGGCACCATTGCATTTTTGTTCAATCTAAATACTTTTGTTTAATAATTTTCGTTGATTTAACTTCCCCTTTTATCAAATCGTCGGCAAAAATGCTTAAATATGTTCTCAATGTTCAAGCATCGGTACGGGATATCTTACACTAATGACATTTTGTAAAATTGTTCAGATCAAACCTATCTTAAAAATATAACAGACTAAACTTTACGTTTTGTTCATGCTACATGTAACTTGTTACATAATGTTGTGTTAATTCGCTGGCAATATCTGCGTTCTCCGTAAAGCAAGGGGAAGAATATCACGGTTAACACACACACACACATTCAAATATAGAGTATATAGTACATGTACATCATCAAGGGATTGAGACACTTCCTCATCAACGTTTATGATTGTATGAGTAACATGGTATACATTACAAAGTGATAATGGTGTTGATGCATTGATGACATAGCACCAGTTTCGTGTTGATATATATGATGCACAGAGATTTTATTTTTCAGCCATTTTCAACCTCGGAAAATTTAACTGGATCGTTGAAACTGCCCGTTAAATTGGACAGTTGGGCACAAACAATATAGATATGTCCCGTGGACCATTGAATCGACCGTGAGTAGATGACGTAAGATAGACAAGGCTCAGTCACATATCCTTGTAAAGACGGACTGATAAAAGTGCATACAATAGAACGGGGATATAGAATCAAATTTGAACTTTAAAACATCCTTTGTATATGCTTTGCCCAGGGTTTTGCCAAATTTGAAAATCCCGAGGATGGAATTTCACTATCCTACATCCTTGGGCATGAAAGAGTATTTTTCTCTCAATCCAACCACAAGAATAAGCCCAGAAACCATGATAATGCGTTCGGACTTTGCCACCATTTTGAAAATAACATTTTTTTCCCTGAGCTTTTTAGACGAAAACGAATAAGCCAGCCACATAAAGCATATCCAATATTTGCAAACAATGTTTGCGCAGAAAGAAACATTAATCACATCCTTCTAACGTGTACGGTAAATATATAGTAAAAGGTTTTAATTTCATCACGTCGCTTTTCCGCATTGCGGCATCGGAGAGTTCCAAATTCGTGACGTCACGTCATTGTTGAGCCAGTGTGACGTCACGTAACGTGAAATGGGGTGAAAGATATAAATTTATCTTACCCTGGACAGGTGTATCCGCACTTTTACCGGTGTGAGATTTCCTTTTCTCCCACACCTGACAGATTTATCTCCCGTTTTGCCGGTGCTAGATTTATTTGTCTCCGCCCTAGGATTGAGACGGGGGGATTCCCCTATTCATAACAATGTCATGACGTCACTGCAACAATACAATGACGTCCCGTCAACAATCCATCAACGTCACGTCAACCCTGAATTTAGCATGTAACGTTATCATTACATTGTGTATATGATACACATTGGGAAAAACAGGGTACATGTAAGAGAAAAAGAATCATTCACCCCCTTGTGGGTAAGATAGGGGAATCTTAACCCTCGGGGAAAGTTTCTTAAGTTGCCAAACACTCGGCAAAGCCTCGGGTTTGGCAACATAAGAATCTTCCCCCTCGGGTTGAGATTCCCCTATCTCACCCCAAAAGGGGTGAATGATTCTATTAGTCTCACCTTAGGGCTGAGACGGGGGGATTCCCCTTTTCATAACAATGGCATGACGTCACTTCAACAATACAATGACGTCACGTCAACACTCCATCAACGTCACGTCAACCCTGATTTTAGCATGTAACGTTATCATTACATTGTGTATATGATACACAATGGTAGAACAGGGGAAGAGAAAAAGAATCATTCACCCCCTTGTGGGTAAGATAGGGGAATCTTAACCCTCGGGGAAAGTTTCTTAAGTTGCCAAACACTCGGCAAAGCCTCGTGTTTGGCAACTGAAGAATTTTCCCCCTCGGGTTGAGATTCTTCTATCTCACCCCCTTCACCGCTTTCTTACCCTGGACAGCTCTATCTTGCACACAGGGAAATGAGAGAAATATATATCTTGTTATCATACTGACGTGTACAAAATGCATGACAATAACGGTACAGAATGTGCCCATTTATTTTTATCTATGATATAAAAGTGCTTCGTTTATATATACCTCACGAGTAATATGTATTTACATATCTTAATGCTTCTTATACCAATATGACATTGTGTGCAGTTTTCTACTTTAACCCTTAATCTGTTAAGCATACATCAACTATTCCGTTCTTACCCATTCAACTAGTCTTCTGTCTGGTCTAAAAAGCTGTCCTGTTTGCTGATATTGCCTGCAATGCATACAGCATTAGACACACGGTAAATTGTTGATTTTTTTATGTTGCTGATAGTTTTTTTTGCCTAGATGTTTTCCTAATTTGATTCAATTTTGTTTTGTTTTGTTAGTTTTTTTGTGTTTTGTTTTTGTCCTAGGTTACTGCCAATGTGGTAAATGCAATGAACTTGTATATTTTATGGTATTTAGTTAACCTATATTAAAGCTTTTTTTTAAGCAAAACCTTTATCGTTATTGTGTTTATTTAAAGATATTCAACAACAGAAAAAGAAGGAGACTTGTGATAATTGATTTAATCATCTTTGAAAAATATTAACTATGTATAATGCAAGACCTTGCTAAAGATAGAAATTCTCTTAAACGGTCTGCCTACCTTTTCACTTACCAGTCATGTCGCAG